GTGTAATGGTGGTATATGGAATGATGATCCTTTTAACAATTTAGTATAGGCATTGTACTTTAACCCCATTATGTATGGTTATGTAACACCTTTTGTTTGGACTAATTATATAATAGAAAGTCTGGATTTTTGTTCTATTTTAACAATGCTTTGTGGATTCCTTGATAGTATACTGCATGAATTGTTATATGGTACCCAAAGAATGCAAGTTATATGGTCCACTAATTATATAGTATCATGCACGAGTTGTTATATGGTCCACAAACAAATTTTTAAGTAGCATGGTCCACATAACAATTCCAAGAGGGATAAGAAACAAGAGACCATCTGATGCATAAAAAGCACACAAACGACATTGGATCATACAAGAGATTATATTAATAACCAAAGTTAGTGCAAAGTATTACACAACAATTCCGACATAGAATATTTAAAAGCAAACATCCTAGAATTTTTTTTACTACAAATGCCAGTACAAAGCATTACATAAAAAACCTACATAATAAATGACACGTCCGATGCAATTCCCATGCAAAAACTACATTAAGTTGACAGGTTTTTCTAAAGTGTTCCCCTCTCCATTCTTTCCTATAATTTGGGTTGTTAATTTTTTCTTGATGATCATTTCACTCCTTTTCCTCCTCTTAACATGGGGAAGTACAACATTACCCCTCTCCCTTGTCACTTGTGTAGTCCCACTCTCCTTAGTACATTGTGAATCCCCACCTTCCATTCTTGTCCAACTTCCATTTCCCACTTCTGCAGTCCTTTTCTTCACATTTTCACCTTATTATACACACATAATAAACACTTAAATAACACATATTGATTAAATAATAAGAAAATAATATATAAGAAGTTTTATTTACCTTTGTTGTCTTAGTCCTCTTAACCCTACTACCATGTGTATCCCCACCTTCCATTCTTGTCCCATTTCCACTTGCCACTTCTGCAATCCTTTTCTCCACTTTTTGAGCCTATTATAGTCACATATTATATAGTTAAATGACACATACTTAATAATGAATAAAAAAATAAGAAATGAGAAGTGGTAATTACCTTTGTAGTATTAGTCATGTTAATGGCGAGTTGGTAACTTCTTTGGTCTTGGCCTATCAAGAGTTGGACATGTCTTATTATTATGTCTTTCCACTTTGAACAAACTACATGATATCTTCTTACCATTCTTAGAAACTCTATGGTTTCCACCCTTTTCATTTACATCTCTAACTCTTTTTGTTTTTGGCCTACCAAGCATCCTTCTATTCTTGGGAGGTAAAGGTGGAATGTAATTAGTTTCAGGCCACATCTTGCTTCCATTCACTGGACAAATTTATTAATGAAAGGTATTCATATACATTGCTCTAAAATCCTAAGGATTCACGTATTTCTCCACATCTCTATTAAGGTAGCTAATGGCAGTCACAGAATGAACACACCCATAACCATTAAGTGGCCACATCCTGCATGGACATGTCCTCTTGTCTAAATTAACTTCATATGCCTCACTTCTTGACCTGGTCTCAAACTGGTTGAGTCCACCTGGCTATACCTCCCAAAACCTTTGATTAACCTTTAACTCATTCAACCTCAGCCTTATTTCAGATGACACATCAATTGACCATCCATTAAGTTTCGCTGTGAACAATTTCTTCATCATATACATTCTCAATTCTTCAAGCATTGTGATGATAGGTTTCTTCCTGGCTTCAACTATGATTGCATTGAAACTTTCACATCCCCCATTCTCCACACTAGAACAGCATCTACGAACTTAATAGTAAGCTCTTGACCATGTTCTAGGTTCCTTCTCCATCAAGCGGTTACTTGCCTCAAGACTCATAAGCTCAATATCCTTCATTATTTCCTTGAACGATTCTTCTGTTGTTGCATTACATGCAGCCCAAAACATATTAACAAATTGTGCCCCTGGAAACTTTTTACTGAAGTTGGCCACAATGTGCCTTGCACATTGCCTATGCTTAGCTTGGGGTAACAATTTCTTGACAGCTTCCATAAGACCTTATACCAAGATACAAGTAGTTATAAATGAATTTGCAGGCCCGTCCCAGAGGGTGGGCGATAGGGGCAACCATCCAAGGCTCATTTTTATAGGGGCCCAAAATGTTTAAGGAATTCATTATATATATTATATATATATATATATATATATATATATATATATATATATATATATATATATATATAATCGAATATGTTATATTTAGAAGTTAATACAAGTAAATTTCTTTCAATTATTGAGTTTATATATATAATATATATATATATATATATATATATATATATATATATATATAGTAAATTACACGAATGGTCCTTATGGTTTGCGGTAATTTGCGTGTTTTGTCCCTAACTTATTTTTTTAACTCGGAAGGTCCCTATGGTTTGTTTTTGTTACGCGTTTGGTCCCTATCTTATCTAAAAAGACTATTATTTAAAGAGGAAAAAATGATGGGGTAGGTGAGGTAAGGTGAGGGGGTGGGATTAGGGGTGTTTTTATTTAAATAAATTAAAAAATCAAGGGCAAAATAGTCTTTTTAGGTAAGATAAGGACCAAGTGCGTAACAAAAACAAACAGTAGCGACCTTCCGAGTTTAAAAAATAAGTTAGGGACCAAACGCGCAAATTACCCTAAACCATAGGGACCATTCGTGTAATTTACTCATATATATATATATATATATATATATATATATATATATATATATATATATATATATATATATATATATAAACTTGATGAAATTTGTGTATGTGAAGGGCCTTTTTTTTCCTCTCGCTCCGGACCCAAACTATGTTTGGAACGACCTTGTGAATTGGGTAATATACTTTGTGAAAGAGAAGTAATAAAAAAAATTTCTTACCTTGCATTGGTCTGACATAAGAGTGAAACCTTGTCTCATACCAAGATTGAGATCATCACTTAACAATGACAGAAACCATTTCCAGTTTTCCTTGTTTTCAACACATACTACTACCCAGGCAATTGGGTATATTTGTTCCCCTAGCACCTTTCCCCACAACACATAGCAACTCGTCGGTAATATACCCTTTCAAGAAGCGGCCATCAATTCCAATCACCTTCCTACACCCTTCTAACCACCCCTTCTTTACACCATCAAAACAAACATAATACTTACTAAAGTGATTAGTCCCATATGGAATTGTAAGTACATCCATGTTAGATGTAGAACCAAGGTTGGATCTTCTAATTTCCTCTCCATAAAACCAGAGCTTAGCATAATGATCAATAAGGGTACCTTCAATAATATTCATAGCATACTCTTTGGCCCTTCTGCATTGGCTAATACTGACTTTAATACCAAATTTATTGATGACCTCCAATCTTAATTGCCTAATTGTCAGTTTTTGTCTATGCAAAATCTCATTGGTGTAGTGGCTACCAATCCATCGTTAACTGACAATTGAACCCAATTTGTAGCTCCTAGCACATTGATGCTTACTTTTTAGAGATTTGATTTGAAAATTGTGTTCTGTACTCATCCAACTTGCCCATAACCTGAAAGTACAAACACCTTTTACAACACAATATTATAAGCCTCTTACTATCATTCTTTTCGAACCATAGTTGATAGCCATTCTTAATAGCATAATTGCATAATATGCTCTTAAGCTGTTTTGGATTCTCAAATCTCATGCCTAAAATTGGTGATTGCTTCTTCCAGTGTACCTGAGGATTAAAGATAAGATGTTCCTTAAGAACATTATTGTCCAATTCCTCAATATTATCCATTTGGGTCTCAACATTTTTCTCTTCTCCACCTTCTGGACATAACTTGTTAAGAAACTCATTGTCCTTGGTCTTGTTTAGAGGCGTCCAATATTCCCCATTGATTTCATCTTCCAAACCAACATCAAACATATAGGCTAGCTCAGGATCATGGATTCCCTGTGAAGGTTCTTTGTCATCCTCCTGGATCACTGAACCACTTTCATCACTTTCTTCATCGAACTAGTCCTCAAATCCTTCCCCAATGTGATCTAAATGCAGATCAATTGGCATTTATGGTGCTTGATAAGCAACATCGATAAACACTTGATAATCTATTTCATTGGCTATTACCGTAAGACCATTTGCCATAGTTTGATCATGTGCTAAGTAATAAAGTTTCTCAAAAGGCTCTCCGACAAACCATTCAAGAAATTCACAACACCCATGTAAATCCATTCCAGAGAAATCATGATCAGTAAACATGAACGTATCACCTCCAGTATATCTATATGGGTGTCTTGTAAAAACATCATTATAGTGCAAACGCACTTTCAAGAAAATAGGGTTTGGGTTCGCCATGAACTTTAACTACAAAAGAACCCTATAATCTTGATCACTTCAACACGATTTTGATAAACGACTCAAGTAGAGCCCTTTATTAAACCGTTATACGAAGGCAAAGTTGACGTGTCATTGATGACATGCCATTTAATTGAAGAAATCGAAAGTCTAAAGGTCACGTCACATTTAATTACCAGGTGATTTAGTGGGATCAAAGGTACGAAAATTAGTTGAAAGACCTTTTAAAACCAAATGAAAAATATTATTACGCTTCTATATCAATAACCCAAAAATATATATTGTTTTCTAATAACATGTCGTGTATGGTGATCAACAGGATGATGAATATGTTTATCTCAAAATATTAGACATAAAAGAATATACAAAAATTGTTTAAAACGAACTTAAAATTGCATCTTACCAAATAATACCTTAAATGAATTTGATGGAATCCAATTCCATAATATATGGATCCTAATGTATCTCACGTGTCGCTCATAAACATTCTTGAATTCCTGACACAAAACAAAACTGACAACCAATCTATCTAGGATCCATGTCGCGTCGTAATTTTACAGACAAAGGCAAAGAAAGGTTTCTATCTCAAAAGGGTTACTCGGAATTTGGTCTTTTGAATGAATCCTTTCGCACGACCAACAACGAAGATTCTGCGGATTGGTGGAACGATGTTCGACTGTTCTTTGTTAACGTTTACCAGATGGGTCGCTCCGATCCCAGACATTTCATCTTCGCTGCTAAATCTGGATTGGCATTTGCTATCGTTTGTGTTCTTATATTCTTCAAAGAACCCTTTAATTATGTCACTCAGTATTCCATCTGGGCAGTCATAACCGTCATCCTCGTCTTCGAATTCAGCATAGGTACGTAACTAATTAACCCTTATAACTTCCTCTTTCCAAGAACTTAATCGCCATTTTCGGATTTGCATCATCATCATTAATTAATTGCACGATATAGTTTGTTCTTCCGGATAAAATATGGTCGTCAATGTCATTCCCTTGTTTCGTTTGATCTGATTAAACTTGATCGAATTCATATAGGAGCAACACTTAACAAAGGATTTAACGTTGCTTTGGGTATGTTATCTGCCGGCGTGCTTGCGTTAGCTATCGCTCAACTATCCATGTGGGCTGGGGAGTTGCGAAAGATTGTAATTGTGATCAGCATCTTTATAGAAGGTCGATTTAAACACCCTTTTCATATATAATTTCCTTCACTAAATTCTAAACTTTATTCTATACATCTTGGTTCTTTTTCCTTTTCTGTTTCAGGCTCGATATCAAGCCATATCAAACTCTACCCGTCAATGAAGCCATACGAATACGGGTTCAGAATCTTTACGTTAACATTCTGCGTAGTACTCGTGTCAGGGACTTCACACATTGACCAAACAGTTCTTTCCCGTTCGTTGTTAGTTGTCCTTGGGACAGTTGTGTGTTTGGTTGTTAGTATATGCGTTTTTCCAGTTTGGGCTGGTGAAGATCTGCATAAATTGGTGGTGAAGAACTTTAGGGGGGTTGCTACTTCCTTAGAAGGTAAAAATCTTTTCCATTTTTGACTTAATAAAACCATGTAACGATTTAACCAATACATTAACTTTTATATAGGATGTGTTAGCAAGTACCTTCAACATTTCGGATACGAAAGAATACCTTCAAAAATCTTGGTATATCAAGCCTCGGATGACCCTTTGTATAGTGGATATAGATCAGCAGTACAGTCATCAAGTGAAGAAGAGACTCTGGTATATATATGGGTTTGTTTTTTGTTTACAAAATAAGTGTGAATGTGAATTAATGAATACGCCATTAGCCAACAAGTTTACTTATTGCAGCTAGGGTTTGCTGTTTGGGAACCACCTCATGGACGTTACAAAATGTTTAGGTATCCATGGAGTTCTTATGTGAAAGTTAGTGGTGCGCTTAGGCATTGTGCGTTTATGGTGATGGGAATGCATAGTTGTATACTTGCAGAAATACAGGTAACTTTTCTTCTTCACCTAGATTTATGGTTTAAGGATCTTTATAGATGGAGTTACGTTTTTGTTCTACTTCCGAAAGCGTAGTTATTTAACGTAGAAACAAACATATGAAAGTTTTAAGTTCCTATTGCAAGATCTAAAACCTTGATTTGTTTTTTTTTTTTTCCATGGCGATATATAGGCATCTGATGAACTAAGAAACATGTTCCAAAACGAGATCCTGAAAGTAGGCACAGAAGGCGCAAAAGTCCTACGTGAGCTAGGAAGCAAAGTGGAAAAAATGGAAAAACTTAGCCCCGATATCGACCTGCTCATGAAAGTTCACGAGGCTGCGGAGGAATTACAATTGACGATCGACCAAAACTCTTACCATCTCATCAACTCCGACAAATGGGAACCCGGAAGACAACCAAAAGGGTTTGAAGATCCTGATATTTTTCAAGAACCAAAAGAAGACGAAATCAAACCAAAACTACTTGTCAAATTCCGCAGTGAAACAAACCTACACCTACACCTAAACCGAAAACTAACTCTTCCGACCAAATCCCTAGACCGTAAGACTCCAAATATGTCCCGTCAGCCGTCCATGGTGCATTGGGGATCGTCGGTAGATGTGGTAAAGAAGCAGGCCCGTCGTCCCGCCATTGTGCATTGGGAAACGTCGGTAGATGTGCTAAAGAAGCATACCAATCATCCTTCCATGGTGGATTGGGAATCGTCAGTAGATGCGCTAAAGAAGCAGACGCAGTGGCCTTCACGTTTATCGATACATGGTGACACGATTCTTAATGTGCGTGAAGTGAAGACTCACGAAAGTGCGAAAGCCTTGTCTCTTGCAAATTTTACTACTTTGTTGGTTGAGTTTGTCGCAAGACTTCAGAATCTTGTGAACGCGTTTGAAGAGCTTAGCGAGATAGCAAAGTTCTCTGAACCTGTTAACCATCTTGAAGCGAAGGAGACGATGGGTTTCTGGACACGAGTACTCAAGTTCGTCGGGATCAAGGATTGAAGTGATGAAGAACGTAGTAGCCTTTGAAGTAAGAGCATGTTTGACTCAAAACATTTGTCATATATGTTAATTTTAAGCACCAATTAATTATTTTCTTCAATATATTAACCATCAAATTAAATATTTTCTTCAAAGGTTAACCTGTTTTTATAGTTTTTTTTTTTTTACAAATTCAACTAAGGGATGTTTGGGATTGCTTTTAGGGGGGTTTTGCTATAAAACTTTACTGTTTGGTTTTTATATTTTAAACATATCATATTTTAATACAAAATATTTAATAAAAACAGTTCTAAAAAATATCTTATCAAAACATTCAAAATTTTGTATTTCATAATCTTAAATTTCAAGTGTAACTAAATAAAACAAAACATTACAAATAGAATCATTATAAATTTAATATTTCATAAACAAAATATCCTTATATATTTAATAGCAAATATTTAAAACTTAACTATAGTTAACTACTAGTTAGATTTACAAAACATATATCGATCGGTCAATAGAGTCTAGAGAAAAAAAAAAACAATTACCATTACGATGTGCGAAATCCCAGGTTCGCAGAAGTTGTCAAATAATTTAGAATGTAACATGCATTTTCATGTTGAAAATAAAATGGAATTCAATTCCATTTTTATGTATACATACTTTTGGTTTATAAATTTGTTAAAAATAGTTAAAATGTAAATGATGATGTATACGTGGCAACACGGAGATACAGTCCAAAGTGGGAAATTCTCTAATCCAAGATAAAAGCAATATGTGATCGTAGACCATCAAAATAAACAAATGCAAAAGAACCATAACCAAAATTTCATTAATGGAACAAATGTATCCTACTAGAGGCCCAAAATGCTAAAACGCATCCATGTCTTCTACAGATTCAGCACAAAATATAAAAATTCAACTCAACATTGGAGTAATCAAAGATATTAAAAACCCTATTGCACTCAATCTTGTTCTTCAGCTGTCACCAGGAAGGGACTTGATGATATCAGAATCACCTGATAATCACAACAAAAAAAAAATATCAAACACACAAACATAAAAAAAAACAGTAAACGCAAAAAAAAAATGGCACATGATTATTACCTGCATCGATTATGCTAAGGCATGACACACGGAAATACTTTCCACAAGCTGTTCCAAGATCCACATTGTCTGAGAAAAAATATAACCACACATCAAGAAGTATAGATAAAAAAAATAGTAACATACACAAAAAAGACAAATCCACATAAATATAATAATATATTTACTTACTTCCATTGTAATGATGAACCCCAACCTTAGCCAACATAGCATAGTACTCGATTTCAGACTTCCTCAAGGGAGGGCAATTGTTTGATATGATGATCAGTTTTCCTGCGATTTGCATCAAATCAATAACAATTACAAAACTTTATTGTAAAATTATAATTAATTAATCTAACGTTCTACACTTTTCTTAATAAAATTCTACTCAGTTATCAGCATAGTCAAATTTTATACATCAAAGCTCAGTTGATTGCAAAAAAGCTATCAAAATAAGATTTTTCTTTTACGCGCTGTTCACAAATCAGGATTCGCGTGTGTTTTACATGGATTCAAAATTCAAGATTTTAGAAAACTGATGATATGGGATGAATTTACATATACAAATCAAAAACCAAACAAATAAAATTTGGGGGTATATCTTACAATTTTGCGACTACTTTGCATCGACATTACTTTAATCAAAACTATTAGAAGGTAACATCTCATTTGGTCTCTTCCACGGCAATAAGTTTTCAATTCCTTACGAATTCAATAACAAATGTTTTACATTTGAAGAAGGTAAAGATTATCTTTGTAGTAAACTTCAAACGAATCCATATCAGTTAGAGTGCATAGCGTTACAGTACAAACTAAGATTCTCCATTATATATAACAAATCACTTAACAACTGTTACCTTTAGAGCTCCTAAGAGACTCAAGAACAGTCTTGTATCCAAGGGTATACTTTCCACTCTTCATCACAAGAGCCAACCT